GTGGATACAGAATTTACTTGTACATGTAACACATTTTCTTTATTTTATTCCTTTATGCGTAATGACTACAGAGGCGGACTTAATGCTGAAAGCATTCTCTGCCAATCTACTATTTCTATCTAGTGGTGTAGAAATGAGTGAGGCAGGTAGAAGTGAAGAATATGTATGCATGTATGTATTTGTATGTATATAGGTATAACATTCACAAATTAATCATATTTTGATACAGCTGCCATATCTCTCACTAAATATTAAAAAAGCCGAGAGGTAAATAAAGCCATGTAGCATTAAGTGCAGTGTAGTTTTAAATAAACAAATTAAATAAATAATTAAACAGAATTAAAATAATACACGATAAATGAGGAAGACAGGTTGTATCAATATTGTTATACTTTTAACACATAACTCCTCAACCCATCATCATAAAATTTTGTAAGTACAAACATTGTCTAGCTAGTAAGTATAACATAAATGAGGGCCTGTTTGTCTGTTGCACGGATGTGAGATTATAATTAGATATATGACAAAAAGTTCATTCAACTACATACAAAGATTACTTCAAGTCTAGTTCCTAACTTTAAAACCACGTACTTTAAAACCAACTGAAAGTAGAATTAGTTGAAAATGAATGCATATATAAAGCTGCCCTTAATAATACAATTTCTTTAGTAAATAAATTGCGTTGTTAAGTAGAGTGAGATAGAGTCCGTAATGACTACATGATATTATCGAGATTATCAAATTCCAGACAGAACACGTCGTAAGAATAGGAAAGCATATACAAAAATCTACAGCAGGAATGAGAAGAAACCATTATTTTACTATCTCAGTCTTAAAGAGTACTTGTCTTAATAAGCTTTTTTTGCAGTCAGAACCGTTTTTATGGTCACTTCCGCTTTTAAGGGTCGTAGCGAGAGATTAGCCTATATAACATTCCTCAAGAATTGGACTATGAAATGCAAAAAGAATTATATCGACTAAAAAGATTTTCCCCCCACCAATTCTTGGCTTCGTCATCAGCAACATTATCAAGCACAATCTGTTGAACTCATCAAAACTAAGAACTTATAAATTGGAGGAATTCACTAGAAACCACTAAAAAGTTCCACCATTCAACTCCCAACTAAATCATCAGATCAGTTGTAGTTCCAACTTCAAAGAAAGTTAAAATTGACTTTTAACCCTTTTTTACATTGTTAGTTAATTACAAATAAAGTTAAACTAAAATATTTTACACTATTATATTGAGATGGCCCCGCAGCATTTTTTGCATTATCGTTTTCTTCGACGCAGGAAATGATTGATTTGATGATAATGATTCAATAATAACAACGAAACAACATAAGATATATTGAGATCATCGCGATAAAGCTGATAATAGAATCTCCACTATACATACTTTTAAAGCAGAAAAGCTCAAGGGCGGGCGTCCTCAGAAAACCCTGCCAAAGTTTCATCACAATATGATTAAAGATTTAAAAGAATTAACGGCGTTGTATGTGTTAGTGAGAATTAACTACATGTATAACTGAATTAAAGCCTGTACCTAACTAAAAACTGAACGGTATCTAGTGTATGGTTAAAAAAGAACAAATATAGAAAAGAATATATTTATAATATGGGAATATTACAATGGTTTTAGGTAGTTTGTAATGGAAATATTTACTCCTTAGAATGAATTTACAATAAAAATTAGGTTTTTTTTTACATAAGATTTAGATTTAATTTAATTACATAAGAATTAGGATTCGTGTCTTGGATTTCAATTTTCAAAATGGCAAACATAATATTCTTATTTTATAAAATAAATCATAAACTCACAATAACATTTCTGCTACAGCAGCAGCAGCAATAGCTAGTAGGTTTATTTGCAACAAAGGACCATATATATAAAGCTGTATCTTTAAGTTTTGTGGTAAATTTTAGCTAAAATCAATTTCAAAATAAAACAAAAGAAGCATCTATTTAAACTAAATTAGCCTTACCAATCAACTACAGAGAGGAAAGCAAGTCGTTTGTCGGCACAAGATCACCCACGAGAACTGTTCAAATAATTTTAGCTTTAAAATACCCCGTCGAAAGTTGTGTAGAAAGTTTTACGTAGTAGGGTTTACGCGACATGCTACGGCGTAGCCGAGAGCTAGTACCGCTCTGAACGGAGCCGGGCTGACGCTCGCCTTTTATTCGTAGCGGTCCGCCATCCCGCCCGATGGCCCTTTGCGACTAAACATCCCCCCGATACGGGGCCACAACATTGTCGAGCTGAGCACTGCTCCGAGATTATTTTAATATCCCCACACAAGGAAATGTACTACTAAATGTTTCCTTGCTTTCAATTACTTATTTTAAAGTTTTTAATTCCATTAACCCGTTGACCGCCAAGGACGCATAAAGCGTCATTCAATAACTTGATCGAGGCGCCAATGACGTCTTGACTTCCACCGCACTTCATTTTTTACGGATAAATAAAACTTGGCTAATGTTGATTTTCAGAATCAGGAACATTTATAATATTTTAGTTCATCCTGATTTCGACTACCATAAGCATGCAATTAAGCACTGAGATATTTGATAAAAAAAAAATATATAATATAATTGGGCACGTAATATTTAAAAAATAATTGATTAGAAAACTAACTTTTAACGTTACACCGATAAGTATTACCCGCCTGCCCGTTGGTGCTTGGCGTAGAGAGCACAGTTTGTCGTTATTGACGTGGCGGTCAAAGGGTTAAACAATAAATTATTTCAAGATCAGTATGATCACTATTCTCTTAACACGATAATGAGCTAATTATTAAGCAACATAAAAATCAAAAAGAGGTTTCTTTAAGTGATTTTTGAAAATAATTGCCATGTACATGTAGTAGTCAATTACATATTATATATAAGATTAATATGTTTATTATTTATACCGGAAAGTGAACGAGCAGTGGCATTGGCTAAAATAAAACAGTAAAAATATTGAAAAGGTGCAGGTGGATGATAAATCTTCTACCACACGGACCCGGGGACCAGTGCACCCTGGTCGAAATGTCAGGCAAGGTACCTATGTCGTACCTATTGATTGCGTTAATTAACGAATGTAATTGACATATAAAATACATCTTATAAAAGACATCCAAAACATACGAAAAACAAAAAAACTGCTGCGTTAGAAAATAAATATAATCAGTGAAACATAGAATTGTCTGGGTACATTAAATTAAACCCACACTACTAGATTTACCGGGAGTAGGTTGAGATAACAGCTCAAACCTACCCACACAATAAGTTCTGACACGTGTCATTCTCTTCTTTTAAATTTTTGTGTTTTTACCAACGATGTTTACGATGCTTCTCTATATGTTTATATGGACGAGACACGCTTTCGAAGACTATGGTCATTTGGGTGGCTTGGCTTTAATAGTTGGCGGTTAATATAAGGAGCATAGATATTCGTTCAAAGATACTATATGTGAGTATTTACCGACAGAATCTTAGAACGAATCTGTATAGATTAGGTTATAGATAAACATAAACATACTTACATAATAATGTCTAAATAATATATATAACAGATAAATACATATAATAATAGAGTATAAAATTATAAAAGCCATGTGAAGGCTCATGTTCAATCAGAGTAGGTACCTATGTTTCAAGGTTTCCACATTTCCCAAGAATCGTTCATATTTTGTATAGTTGTAAAACGCTTGTAAATAATAATACCTAATATTAAATATTTATCTGAAAAAGGAAAACTGAACTCCCTCTATGGGGTAAAATTAATTTAATTTATTAATTAAATATTTCTATAAGTTCATTTACTGTATCAACATACATCAGTACATTTGTGAAACAAACAAAATAACGTATCTAACAGACATAGTATTATTTAGAAACAAAAAGACAAATACATTATCGAGCAAATGTTAAGAGAAATTCTTTAGAGACAAGAGTTTTATCTTCACTTGAACCCTACACTATACGACGAATAGGTATTGGCTATAAATAATGCTTACCTTAGGATTTCAAGTACACTTCGTTCCTACCTACGTCACTTAAAACTCAAACAAAACAACAGTGAATATACAACCAAAAAAATTAAAACATTAAACACAACACAATGCTGTTTGTTTACATGAATCCAATCTAAATAAAATATAATAACATGTTGTGCAAGGGCGGGCTCGCAGCGCCGACTAGCGGCTGGCGCGCGAAGCAGACGCTAGGGCGGCGTCGACTGGGGTCGCGAGGGTTCCGACTGTAGGCATTTTCCCTCTCATTCGCACACACTTCACCTTAATTGTCACAATACTCTATCGCGTTACGCAAAAACGACGCTTTTATCAATGACATAGGAGACATTATATTACTACACACGCGATTCGGTAGGATCCCCCCTCGGCAGGCTGCTCGTAGTGGCCTTGAGAGGGACTGATGTTTTCATCCCGTGTGCGTAATAAAGCGCTTAGGGAGCGAACAAGTGACTTTAGCTGAAAGATTTATGGAGGAATCTCTAAAATTAATTCGGTCCGATTGAGGCCCTCCCGCTTGTCGTAGGGTAAAACAGCTGGATTTGAATATTTACATAATTTTGGTTTTGATTAAGTGTATATAAATAACTTATCATTAAATACATAAATAAATGTTATTTAGGAAATAATAAAAAAGACACAACGTTTCAAATAAGCTTTTATTATTAAAATATATAAATTATAACAACAATGTCAATGTAATTTTGTATTCCTTATACCTAAATGATAACGGAAATAATTGTACTTTGTTTGACTACTGTAAAATTGAAATTCTATTTCATTATGAATAAAAGAAATTGTAATTTTTTGAAGCGTAGATCTTCCTTTATTTATTATTTTATTCATTTGTTTTCAGTTTTAAAATATTGCCATAATTTTACAGTAAGCCAGTTTATTATTACTTTTTAAATGTTTACATATTTTTGCATTAAACATATGCATATTGCCCATACTGTTTGCTGTTTCAATTAACTATAATTTTTAGCCAATAAGCATGGGCTCCAACTGGCCAGTAGAGAGTAATTTCTGAACATCTGTGCCACCTCCAACACAGTTGCCATTGATGAACACCTGTGGCACCTAAAACAATTCAAAATATTAATGTATCATCATCACCTCAGCCTATGCTTGTCCACTGCTGGACATAGGCCTCTCCCAATGATTTCCAGCGTGGACGGTTGATTGAAAAACATACAATAAAATGGGCTAAATTAATTATACCTTATTGTAAAATAATACTATAAAATGTGTGCTGTGTGCATGTAGTACATAGTATGATATATATTTGTTGAAGAAGTGCAATTACATTTTATTAATGTGACATCAGACAATGTACCCACACATATACGAAACAGACTAAGCACTTCTGTCTTGGTGAACTCTGCCAATTTTTTATCATTTAGGCTTTGTACGTTTTGTATTAGGACAAGAAGATTCACATACTAAAAATATCAGGCGAGTGCTTGTCAGTTAATAAGTAACCAGTTCGTATTTGAAAACAGATAAAGAGTAGATAACAACAATATTAAAAAAAATTGAACAGATAAACTCAAACCCACAACTGAAATGCTAGATTTATTCTTTGTTAAACATTATAATCTAATTAAAATAAGAACAAATATGTTAATTAAAAAAGAATATACCTGACAATAATATAATTATGGTACAGTGCGGTTAGTGGTGATAAGATTATCTGACTTTTTTTACTGCCAGCATGAAATAAAAAATTTGACAGAAGAATTGTATCTTTGGTAGCAAAATATTGACTTAAGAAGCCCAGAAAATATGAATAATAAGTAAGTAACTCATTTAATTTACATACTTATTATATTCACATTACATCACATCAACAGCCTTTACTAGTCCACTGCTGGACACAGGCCTCTCCTTAGGAAGGAGGTTTTGGCCTACTATACCATGCTGGCTAGACGGGTTGATATAGGGTTAGTGTCAAGTTTTCCTTCTCTTTGCAGTGCTGTTGTCCTGCGTAATTTGCTCCCTTAGTCGCCTCTTACGACACCCACGGGATGACTAGGGGTGGTGACACTCTGTATTCTTAATCCGTCACCACACGGACTATTATATTAACAAACCTGTACATTATAAGTATTTTAAAATAACATAAATAGTTGTAATTTTCAGACTTAAATGTGAAATTTAACATTAAAATTAAGACTGTTACCTGAGGACCTTTTTATGAAATAGAATTAGCAAGATATTTTCTTTAATCAACATATGTTGGGTTTAAAAATTACTAACCTGGGTACAGAATGACACAAAAAGCTTTTTAAAACCTTTAATTGGATAATCAATGTGCTGAATTCCAATTTGTGTAAATTGGAATTCAGCACATTTGTGTAAATATATTAAATTTTAGTATGCTTAGTGAAACTAACACCTACTTACATAATAGTTTCTTCTCATATGACTATTTCCCAATTTACATACTGTGTATGAATGGAAATATAGGATATATTTGTTAGAACTTGAAAACCTTAACTAACTTTAGTGTTTCTGAAAATTGAACTGCACTAAATAAGAACCAGGTTTTATGCTATGAAAGAGCTTAGGAAGCAAACTAGTTGTAACTTCAACTAAACCAAATGTATATATGTATAGATATATGCTTGCTAATTATAATAATTATTACTACAATACTAATATATGAATCCCTACAAATATTGCTTAAGTAACTCTGTCTGTTCCTCTAACTTCTAAACAGCTGAGCCAATTTTAATGGAATTTGGCATGGAGATACTTTGATTCGTGAGGAAGGACATGCTAATTCTTACCACGACGGCGGACATACATGCGGGCGAAATAACAGGCAAAAGTTAGTACTTTAATACTTTCTTTAAAGTCCTTTTCTTTAAAGTCTGAAGGTCGTATCGGTCCGGAAATACTGCAGACGATAGCCCGTTCCACAGATTGGTTGTGCGCGGCAAGAAGTGTCTCGAAAAGCACACAGTAGTGAGTGAGTAATGAGGATGAAAATTTTGCCGCGTGGAATGATGGCGGAAAGTTGCAGCTGTTATTAGTCCGAACAATTCTTTTGAGGACTCTCCATGATATATGCGATAGAGAATGCAGAGTGAAGTCACATCTCTAGGTAACGCCAAGGGATCGAGACGATCTGAGATCTTTGGGCTATCGACGAATCGAGTCGCTCTTCGTTGGATGCGGTCCAGAGGGAGAAGCAGGTACCGAGGTGCCCCTGCATAGAGGTGAGAACAGTATTCCATATGCTACCGGACTTGCGACCCTTGCCTTTAAGTGACCCTGAAACTGGACTTTGCTCGATATGTCGATGCCTAGGATTCCGATGCTGGCTGAGGCAGTTAGGGAGGTGCTCTGAAACCGAGGTGATACGATAAACGGTATCTTTTTTGCGGTGAACGCACAGGCCTGTGTCTTTTTTGGGTTGAATTAGACTAGATTTAGTCGGCCCCAATCTGAAACCTCCGCTAAGGAAGTTTTCAATTTCAGACACAAGTTTGTTTCGACTCTCGATGACGTTTGCCGAGAAATATTGCGTGCTATCATCTGTTACTAGTCTGCAACATGTCATTGATATGCAGAAGAAACAGTGTGGGTGATGCACACAGCCTTGTGGGACACAAGTCGGAGCATGCACCGTCGACAACGACCTTGATGATTCTACTGGTGATTACACAATTTCTCGGGAAACCCAAAGGAAGGGAGGTTCGAGAGAAGCGCCTTATGCCAGACCCGATCGAAGGCCTTCGCTATGTCCAAACTAACCGCACAAGCCTCTCCTTTGGTCTCGATCGCCTGTGCCCATCGGTGTTAGAAAGACGAGAAGATCAGCAGGGCCTCAATTCTGCTATTTTATGTTTACGCCAAGCCACTGTCATACCACTGACACGTTATTGAGATGCCATCGAGTGCCATCCAGCTGTCGCTGCATTTGCCCATGCTTGGTAGCATTCCCGCTTTCGGCAGGATGCCGTTTTGCAGGATCTGTCGAACCAGGGCTTGGATCTGCCACCGATGTTGAAAGAAAAGTTAAAAAGTTGGAGCCTTTTTAACTTTTCTTTCATAAGAGATGATTCTTCTTACCCTCCATAGAAAAAACATTACTTTATATAAAGCCAGTAGCAACTAGGCTTTGGTTTAACTTTACCAGTCATCGGGAACTTTTACTTAAACACTTAACTTCAGCATTATTAAAAAAATATTGTGGAACAATACAAGTGCATTAATTTTATTCCCATGTTGATATATATTTATTATCATATTTATAGTAACAGTACAGTACAATTCAATTTTTGCAGCAAGTTACACCAAGTGTAATCAGTTAACAGTATAAATAATATGTATATAAATATCTTTAAATGTATTGGACACTGGTGTTACACTAATGCTAATTATAGCTGTGAACAATCTGAAAAACATGAGTCATCAGAACTATTTACTTCATATTGCATAATATTAAAATTTGTACATAAGAGAATGGTTAAAGATCCTGGCAAAGGCTAGTTTTAGTCATTGGTATGCACCCTAATGTGATCGCACTATTGCTTATTGCCTATCCATTAATTTAAACAACATCACATGCCTTCCATAATCATACTGCCATAACTTTTTCTATCAATATACTAAAAAAAATTAAATCTTTAATTTCCATGAATATCTTCATCATTCATCCACAGCCTTTAGGCCATAGGTCTCTCCTTAGAAAAGAGGTTTTAGCATCCTACATTATGGTTCAGACGGGTTGATACAGGATGTGTTTCAAGTTGTTTTCTCTTTGCAGTACTGTTGTCCTGCATAATTTGCTCCCTTAGTCGGTTCTTACCACACCCACAGGATAAATAAGGGTGGTGAGAGCCCATATTCTTAATATGTCACTACACAGATAATAGAAATAGATAGAGATACTGTTTTTTTTTTTCGTGCGGAAATCCCCTCAGATACCACCTATCGGTGGCATGTTGGACCCGAACCGACTACAACCGCACGCCATCTCGGGTACTAATAGCCGGGGAACCAGGTATACCCTAGAAAGGAAGACCCTGGTGCCCCGACATAGATAGAGATACTCCTAATTATGTGCTCAAGCAAAATTATAGTTTATGTTAAAATATGGTGTGGAAAAACACTTCTGCTTACCCCTACAGAAATATAGGCTAGAGTACATGGAAATATAATGAAAATTCCTAGAGGAATATGTACTTACGGTTCTTATTCCAGTCAGCTGGGCCAGATTGGCCTGAATAGCACTGCCATCATCTCGCTTATCTAGCTCATATACTTGGATAGGTTGTTTCACTTTGGAGAAAACCTGAAATTAGACAAAGAACTTACGTTTAAAACTGATAAGAATTTTATTAAACTTTGAAATTAGACAATTGTCGTTTACATTGTACTAAACAAATATTGGGTCTTATGTCTATACTTACTTCTTTAGCCAAATCGCAATAAGGACAATATGACTTTGAAAATATTACTACTTTATCTTTAGAAATTGCATCTTTAATTAATTGTTGAACTTCTACACTGGACACCGAATTCGCCATTTTGGAAACACGAACAATTTTGGAACCTTGTGAACCCATATAACAAACACATAAAAATTTTGTGACTTCGGTAGGTTTCGGAATGGAATGACAACTTCAATATCAATCAACTGTCAAATTTGACATTAGTTTCATCGTTTTAAAATTATGAAGGCAAGTCTATTTACGATATCAAATCCTGCTGATTTCTGTTTTAATACGTCCATGATTGTCTCTGGTGTGTTGAAGCGACAGTAGTGAGTTTTTAGGTTATTTTCTGAATTTTGGCATATAATTTCATATTGTGTTTTCGTAATAGTGTTTGTGTGGTTCTGTGGCAGGAATATTCCTTAACAAGGTTAGTGAATATTAACAACCGCGCTCATTTCTACGGAAATGAGCGCGGAAGACCCCCCTGATGGGGGCGGTGTGTTACCCCCCGATAAACCCAAAGCTATAAAGCGACAATCGGACTCAGTCTTTCCCGTTGACTTCGATGGAAAGAAAATACGTTCACCAGCTGAATCGATTCAGTCAATTTTCTCAAAACCTGGATTTGAGTCTGATTCCAGGCTCGAATACTCGGTATCAGACAAGGGTCCATATTCTGTGTGTGTTTCTAGGCTTGAACCTGATCCATCATCCGGCCTGTCCCTTAAGGCACTCAAACTCGCCCAGTTCTTATACAAAAACAAAATACCTGATATTGTAGAGGGAACCATTAAAAATATGGGTCGTAACAAAGTCTGTGTGGAATTTGTGTCCGCTATCTCAGCGAATAATTTTGTTAACTCCCCAATTGTCAGACAATATAACTATGTGGCAAATATTCCTCGCTTCCAAGTATTTCGAATGGGTGTTGTTAGGGATATCCCTACTGAGTGGACTCTAGAGGAACTAGTATCTGGAATATCTGTCCCTAAGAATTGTGGCGAAGTTGTTCGAGCTAGACGTCTTAATGTTAAGAATAAAAAAGATGGAGTATCCGTTTGGGTCCCATCGAACTCTGTGGTCCTAACTTTTCTAGGACAGAGTCTGCCAGAAATTTTTTTTTGTTTTAATGCATCATTGCCAGTGTCGCTTTACCAGTTACCTACCATACAATGTAGGAATTGTTGTCGGTTCGGCCACATTGCCAAACAATGTAGGTCCCAGCCCCGCTGCTATAAATGTGCTCAGCCGCATTCTGGTGACTCCTGCCTGGTTCCTGACTCGGAGATATCTTGTTTTTTATGTCATGGTGGTAGCCATTGTGCTACTGATAACAGATGTCCCGAACATAACAGACAAAAATCCATCAAAAGTGTCATGTCTCAGGAAAACCTCAGCTATATGGAAGCATCAGCTAGATTTCCACAGTTTGCCAAGCGGCTATATTCTGAGGCTGCTGCCAGTCCCAAATCCCCTGCTAATTTCCCTCTAAACCCTCAAACTCATCCATCCATCGTACCTCTCCCATCTGCTTCTCCCTCTAAATCATACAAACAAACAGTTAACCTTCCCCCTCGCCGTATATCTATGTCTGGGAAGACATATGATGTTCATGCCCATAATGCAATTACTCAGTCCCCAACTTCTATCCACCCTAATGGTTGTTGTCTTATCCCCCCTACTGAAACAACTCCTCTTGCTACTCCTAATGACAATCTTGTACAGCTCCTTCTTTGCTCTTTAATTAATATGCTGTCTAAAATGTCAGATGCCTTACCGTACGACGTTGCAGTTCTTGTTGAACAACTACTTTCTGTTATCACAAAAAATAATGCTTCCAATGGCTCTCCAGGTCCTCCAATGGAACTGTAGGAGTATCCGACGTAACAAACAAGATATCTCTTACTTGATCAATCAACATAAACCTGTTGTTTTTGCAGTTTCCGAAACGTGGTTAAAGCCTGAATTCCATTTTAGAATTCCTGGTTTCTCTTGTCTTAGGGACGATAGAAGTGATGGTTATGCTGGTTGTGCCTTATTGGTCAATAGGAATATTACATTCTCTCTAATCTTATTACCAAACCACTCTCTTGGCTTAAATATAGTGGCCCTTAGAGCTTTTAATGTTTCCTTTGTCTCTGTCTATATTCCCCATCCCAACACAAGCATTCTTCTTGAATTAAAAACAATTCTTTCAACAATCCCCTCCCCTATGATTGTTTTAAGAGACTTTAACTGCCGTCACACTCTATGGGGATCTCACTGTATTGACTCATGCTCCTCTGTCTTACTTGACGTTATGGATGATTACAACTTGTGCATCCTTAATGATGGATCTGCAACTCGTAGAGTTTCTCCATGCCAAAATATTAGTGTTCCAGATTTAACACTATCTTCTCCTTCCCTAGTCTCCCTCCTATCCTGGTCCCCCCTGCCAAACTCCCTTGGTAGTGATCACTTCCCTATTTTAATCTCATACTCTACTTCATATGTTCCCCAAACCCTACATCCCCTCCTCAAATACAGAGTTTCCCAAGCCAATTGGGAGCAATTTGCAACATCACTAGATCTAAATTTAACCACTCTCCCCCAAACAAATTCCTTTAATTTTCTTGTCTTCTACGACCAATTTATCTCTGCAATTAACTCAGCTGCTGATTGCTCTATTCCCCTCAAACTTCCTTCCAATAAATTAACTGCTTCTCCCCCTTGGTGGGATTCTGAATGTACTGCCAGTGTTAAGAAGCGCAGGGAGGCTGAGAACAAGTTTGCTGCATCCCTTTCTATGTCGGATTTCCTCAATTTTAAAAAAATTGCTGCTAGCACAACCAGACTTCTTTCTGCTAAAAAATCTTTAGGATGGCGTTCATTTTGTGAGTCCTTATCTCCTCGCTCTAGTCTCTCACTTGTCTGGAAAAAATTCAAGTCATTCCGAAAAAGTCTTGACGTAACAAATATCTCTAGCAATGACCCTCATTCATTCCTACACGACTTCCTTAGCCAACTGGCTCCTCCATATGCTCCAGGTTTCGATTGTTTCCCACCTTCCCATCCGTTTATTCCAGATTCCTCTCAAAATACCATGGATGATCCCTTCTCTTTCACAGAACTATCCTTTGCTCTAGATAATCTCCATGATTCCTCTCCCGGCATTGACGGTATCCCTTACTCTTTTATTCGTAAATCCTCCAATTCTTCCAAAATTTTCTTCCTCAGTATCCTCAATGCCATCTTTTATTATGGTCAAATACCTGAATCTTGGAAGACCCAAATTGTCATTCCTGTCCTGAAACCTGGTAGAGATCCCAGAAATTCGTCTTCCTATCGCCCTATTGCGCTCTCCTCAGTACTAGCTAAAATAATGGAAACCTTAATTAAATTCAGACTCGAATGGTTTCTAGAACACAACGAATTGTTAGCCAAAAACCAGTATGGCTTTAGAAAAGGTTTAGGCACTTTAGATAGCCTCAGCATCCTCTCCTCTGAAATTCGCCTTGCATTTTCTCGTAACGAGAATGTAATCGGTGTTTTCTTGGACATCTCTGCAGCCTATGACAACGTACATCTTCCTCTTCTCAGGCAGAAAATGCTACATCTGAGTATTCCAGCGAGGATGGTTCACGTCATCTGCAATATGCTCATGTGTCGTACTATCTCTATTCGTCATCAAGGTTCTTTTCTCCCTCCTCGTCTTGTATGGAAGGGCCTTCCGCAGGGTTCAGTGCTTAGTCCCATTCTTTATAATATTTATACTTTCGGCCTAGACCAGTCTGTCAGTTCTTTTTGTAAAGTTCTTCAATATGCTGATGATGTTGCCATATATTTTTCGTCATCCTCCTTCTCTACTGCCACTTCCCGTTTGAATTCCGCTCTTTATTATTTAAACGTTTGGCTATTGGACCACAATCTTTCTCTGTCTGTTTCTAAATGTAGTGCTCTTGTTTTCTCTCGCAAACGTAATATCCCTGATATCAACCTTTCTGTTGCAGGCGAACTAATTCCAATAAAAGATTCCATAAAGTTTTTAGGCCTCATTCTTGATTCTAAATTATCTGGTATTCACCATCTAAACCATGTTATTAAAAAGAGCGAGGGGGGTGTGAACGTTATGCGGGCCTTATCTGGGGTCCGCTGGGGCTCTCACCCCTTTTGCCAGAAACTTTTGTACAATGCCATAGTTCGGAGTCACTTTAATTATGGTTCTTTCCTTCTGGAACCATGTAATAGAGTTGCTCTGTCTAAGCTTCAGCTGATCCAGTCTAAGTGCCTTCGAATCATAACTGGTGCTATGAAATGCTCTCCAGTGAATGCCCTCCAAGTCGAATGCTTGGAACCTCCCCTTCATCTCCGCCGCCAATTCTTAGCTGACAGATACTTCTTTAATGCAGTCCAAATTAATTCCCATCCCCTTCTTCCAATTCTGTCTCAACTTTCTAGTCTGGTCACTATCTCATTGTACTGGAGACACAAGTCCCTCCCTTTGCTCCTTAATTCCTTTATAAAAATGAAAAATCTATCTGATCCTATCTTTCAATCTTCTTTAAATCCTCTTTTTGAGCTCGACTATAATGCGTTAACCTTCCTACCAAAAATCATCCTTGACTTTGGCATCTATAAACAATCTCCGGCAGCCAACCAAAACTTTCTCCACATCATTGCGGAGGATTGGTCTGATTGGGTTACGCTTTTTACAGATGCATCAAAACTTTCTTCAGATGCCTTTGTTGGTTCTGCAGTTTGGATTCCCAAATTTAAAATTATACTAAGTTATAAATGCTCTTCCTACAACTCTATCTTTTCAGGAGAATCTATTGCCTTATTAGAAGCGGTCTCTTATGTGGAATCTCATAAGCTTGATAAGGCCCTTATTTTATCAGACTCCTTGAGCTGCCTACAAGATCTTTTAAAAAATCCTTTCAAAGCTCGCAATAATTTCCCTATAATTCTTAAAATTAAAGAGGTTCTTCACAGATGCCTATTGTCTGGTATTGAAGTAGTTCTAGCATGGATCCCCAGTCATTCAGGTATAGCAGGCAATGAAACTGCGGACTCCTGCGCAAAAATAGCAGCTCAGACTGGATGCGCTAGCC